CTCAGAGGCTTGGCCTCAAGTCCTGGGCTGCCTTTGAGCTGCGGGATTACGACGAACCTATGGTTCTGCATAGCTGGAACAAAGGTTCCTTCGACGGGTTCTATAAGGGGCTACTAGAAACAGGCGCGTAAAGAACCTGGTAGTTTCTTGCCTGCCCAGGAGCACGGGCTAGCGGCTAGTCATTGCAACGTCAACCCCGACCTCATACCTCATGCGTTTTCCCAGAGCATCCATGGGTCAAACCATGATAACGTCCACCAAGGTCTCAACCGTTCCACAGAGCATGCATGAGCCAAAACCAAAGGTATGGGCCTTTGCGAGGTTGACGGGAACTTGGCCCCTCAGTTTCCTGTCTGAGTCAGAGCCCCTGGAAAAGCTGGAGCGCTGCCCCTTCTGTGACCAAGGCGATGTTATGATACGGCATGCTTTGTGTGAGTGCTCAGGAACTGCGGCGCTGTTTGTGCAAACAGGGCTCGCTCTCCATGGCAGTAGAAGGGTGGACGGCGACCTGCTCTTGCAGATGTTGTTCCATTCCACCGCGGACTCTCACATTGATGCAGCTAGGATCCGTTATGTGGCTCGGGCCTTGACAGCCACCATGGATGAGTATTTGCAAAAAGCACCGGTGCGTCGCAACGACCTGCTAACATCTGTCAGAGGTATCGCACAACCCACCCTTGCCCCCTTGCCCAGCATTCTTGTTCGGGGAAGCGGGCCAAAGCGAGATGCAAGATGCAAGAGATGACGTCCACCCAGACCTCATCCGTCCCCCAAAGCATCCGTCGGCCTGCCGTGACGACATCCACCCAGACCCCTTTCGGCGCCTTGTGGCCACTAACCATAAACCTATCTGCTCCACCACCAGCAAACCTGGGTCACCCTTGTTCCTACTATTTGGTTGTGACAAGGGAACCCTAAGAAGGAAAGAGCCTAAAAGGGTACTACCGGGTGCTAGAAGCCGAGCCCGGAGTCTGACAAGCCTATCCCAAATTGAGCTTTGTGGCGCTTGCAATCCTACTTGTCGGGTATCATGGGGAACTAAAGGTTAACCTTTTTGGTTATATATATATATATATATATATATATATATATATATTATATATATTATATATGGGTTATATAGGGACTATACTACCCAAAAAAGGTTAAAGGTTACCTACTCGACTACTAGGCAATAGAGCAGGGGTCCATGAAAACTGAAACCCCTGAACATGAAGTCCGGTGCTGGTCCACTTGCACTGGCAGTAACGAGTTGAAACGCAACCTCTGCCCGAAACCCTACACCTTTAAACCCTAAAGTGCCCACCCCGAACCCTAAACCCGAAAAAACCTCAACCCTAGAAATCCTAAATCCTACAAACCCTAAACCCTAAGAACCCTAAACCTTCTCCTGCCAAGAGTCGTCTCCGACGGAAGAGAAGGGAGGCAGCTGAGCCGGGAGTTCCTTCAGGACCCTAACTCCTACGGTTTAGGATTTAGGATTTAGGGGTTAGGGTTTCAGGATGTTTCAGGGTTTAGGATTTAAGGGTTCTACCTGTAGCCGATAAAACCTACCATCTTAGGGTTCCTTAATGTTACTATGGATTCTACATACTTATGTATACGCATATCTTTTCCTTCAAAAGAATGTTTGGGGGGCTACAGGTAAGCTCCAAACCGTAACTGGCAGAGTCTAGTAGCCTAGTCCAGAGTTTGAGATTTTGGGGCATGGCTTAGAACTTATACTTATATGTGCTTGGGTGTGGGATCTAGGTACCGGTGGCTGCAGGCTATTCGGGTTTAGGATGCGTGGGATTGTAAGGGTTGTATTGGGATTGGGAGTTCAGGGTTTGCAGTCAAGGCCTGGGGATCTCAAAAGCGCGCAGGATGCTGTGGGCTCACAGCACTAAGAACACAGAAAGCTAGCCGGTTCAATCAGGGTTTTGGGGCTGAAGCGAAATGGGGCGATTGAATCCTGCATATCCAGCACAACAAGTCAACTGACAGCGGAAGTACGTTCTACATGCCGGGAGGAGGCATGCGGCAACCCCTTGCAAACCCCCTCCCCCATTCCCTGCCCTGTTGTTTGTCACCACCTCAAACCCCCTCCACTTTGCTGGTGCTGTTCAAGTTGTTGTGCTTGAGGTTGGTTCGGGAATGCCCAGGTAGTAGGATCTTTATCTACATACTAAGTGGAAAATTGAGACGATAAGGAACCTTAACATAGGCCGTCAAAGACCCCACCCAAGCAAAAACTATCTTATGAAACCTCCCTAATAGTAACTACACCCTAAACCCCAAACCCTAAACCCCTAAACCCTAAACCCTAAACCTTACAGGAAGGGCCTGATACTGGGCTCCAGCGGATCACGGAAGTTGTGGTGCTTCAGAAACCTGAGCTGGGGTCGAGGGTTTGGGGCTGAGGCTACTGTAAGGAACTTTAATATTAGGCTTTGGGGGTATATTTTACTATAGCTATAAGAAGGAACCTTAATAATGAGGGTTTGGGGCTGAGGCTACTGTAGGGGCCTTAATGAGGCTACTGTAGGGGCCTTAATAATTAGGGTTTCGGGATATATTATACTAACCCACAATAATATGGAGCCTCAATAATTAGGGTTTGGGGCTGAGGCTACTTGAAGGATAAGGGCACTGAGTAAGTAAGGATTGAGGGCACCTCGGTCGGGGCTGTATTATAGGGGCCTTCATAATTAGAATAATAGGGTTTTGGGGCCCACACCCCAAAACAGCATGGGCAATTATTTAAGCACCTATATTAATAGTATTTATCACAAACCTTACCTCAGCTTTAACCCGACGCCCCATGGGCCGGCCTGAGTCCTACACCCTTAGCCATGAACATGAATCGTGCACCCTGACCTGATGGAGAAAGTCCAGAGTTTAGGGTAGCCACAGAACTTATCTCAAATGCCAAAAATGCGAGAATGCCAACCCCTCCATGGCTTCTACAGATTGATTAAGGTTCTATCAGGGCTTGCCAACGCCCAAACGGTAAAAGCTAAACACTCGAACCGAAACTCTAAACCCTCTTGTTGTGCTTTTGGTAGAAGTATATTCGAGACTGCTAAGGAATATCACTACTAAAACTGACTACTAAAACTTCGACAAAACCACCATAAATCCTAAGACTTCGAACCCGGACACTTGAATCCCGGAGCCCCGCAGCTTCCCACAGCCAGGAGGGCTTTGCCGTTTAGGGTTTGCAGGATTTACGGTTTTTAGGGGTTTTGAGCTTTGCGTTTTAGGGCTTTTCGGATGTAGGAGCTTGGACAAAATCGGTGTTGAGCAGTCTTTAACAGTGTCTCGTGTGAGTTCTATCAGAGTCTTACAAAAGCTCTTCCAAATACGGTTGAAACCCCCGGTACATTCCTGAAATGCGAGGTTTCTTCCATAAACAGCAGTAGTAAAATGAGTGTTGCTACAGGGGGCTTCACACAGGATTGGGGGTTCAGGGCTTAAGGTTTAACCAGGAGTTTAACAGTTAGGGTTTCAGGTTGAAGGCTTGGGAGCTGGGGGTTTAAGGGAAGACCCCGACGGCAGGGGCCAAATTCCGAAGGCACACGACACGACCAAACCTCACAGGATCGGACACTGACTGCTCATCAGAACAGAACGAATGCCAAATGGGTGGTTGTCAAAATTAGGGTCTCTTTTTGGGCCCTTATTATAGTACGGCACCTATTATTCAAGGTACCCAAAAAAGGGATCCTAATTTTGACAACTACCCACATGGGCACTCAACTCAAGCGTCTGTGCCCAGCTAGCCCATCAAGCAAGCCATCCATCCCAACCCATCAGTCTCGGAGTGCAGCAGGGCGCTAAATCTAGAGACCTGAAATTATGAAACTTGCTTCTAGCTCGACAACCTTTAATGATGCCAACCAGAAGTCTTCTCCACACACTTTGACAGGGGACTGTACTTAGCCTGCTTTGCCGCATGCAGTTTTCACAGTGTGATTCAATCCTGGAGGGGGGCGAAGATTTTGCCTCATTCATGAACACTTTTCATCGCACAGGCCATGCGGATTGCATTGAATCCCAACTGCCCAATATGCACATGAGCCATCACAGCGAGGTCTCATCACTCTCGGCTGAACCCTACGCACTTCACCCTATATCATATACCAAGACAAAAAGATAGTGTGCTCTTCTTGCTGCCCCTGACGACATACAACTGATCAAGATAAGTTGCATGACTGAGCCGCATTTCAACACACGAGTTAATCAGCAGCAAGTAAAACCCTACAAGCCCACACTGGGCCCTGCAAAGTCCGGTATTGAACCCGTTCGCGCACTGCGTGTCCCTAGGGTTCCTCATTACTCGTACACTAGGACTGTAAAGGATCCGAAAATCCTGCTCTAATCACTAAGGCCGCTACATTACTCGGACCTGTCGAATTCGAAACTAGACCCTCGAAGAAGAGATCCTACCATTCTGTTTAACAGTTAACTACCTTCCCTTAGAGCCATATTAAAAATATGCTTCTAATATTCTCTTGGGCTTTATATTATGAACAACAATAAAAAAACCTAAGGAGACTATAGTTAAAGGGTTTAGGTCGCCATCTTCGGGTCTGGGGTAACTGCATGGACTCAGGTGTCAGAAGGGCCTTTTGGGCCGGAGGATGTTCGGTTTATACCGACTTAGGGTTTAGGGGTTTAGGGTTTAGGGGTTTAGGGTTTAGGGTTTAGGGGTTTAGGGTTTAGGGGTTTAGGGTTTAGGGTTTAGGGGTTTAGGGTTTAGGGGTTTAGGGTTTAGGGTTTAAGGTTTTCGGGTTTATACCGAACTTCTTCTGTTGAAACCCTCGATACCCTTGTTATATATAGTATGGCAGGCATAGGCTCTCGAGTTCAGATACTGTTCGTGTGGCACACCTCTAACGCTCAACCCAATCCAAGTTGATAACCCTGAAGATCTAAACCGTAAACGCTATTGCACCAAACGCTATATATGGGTTCAGGGTTTAGGGGTTTAGGGTTTAGGGTTTATAAACCCTAAACTACGAGAAGAATGTCGCCGGTCTCGACGTCCATATGCTTCCCAGCGCGTACACCTGCGCCGAAGGGTTGATCGTTGAAGTTCTCCTGGGGTGCAGGGGTCAGGGAGGACTAGAACCTCAACCCCAAAAACCCGAAACCCTTAACGGCTTAGGCCGTTTAGGGTTTAGGCTTTGGGATTCTGGAGCGCAGGCTGGTTCTGCAGGGGTTTAGGGTTTGCTCTGGGGTGCACGGGTCGAGGGCTCGTTGGGTTTAGGGTTTAGGGTTTGTGAGTCCGGGGTGCGGGTTCGAATGTTCCTCGGGATTAAAGGTTTAGGGTTTACAGCGTGGGGTGCAACCCTGAATGCGAAGGGTGCGGGTTGGGGGTTTGCGTTGGGTGCAGGGTCGAAGGCTCATGGGGTTTGGGGTTCCGAGCTCTAGGACTCTAGGTCCATGCAAGAAGGGCAGCACAGAAAAAGCCCATGCCCTCGATCCCTTGAATGATCTACAGGGCATCCTACTATGCGGTGGATTCAAAAAGGGTGTTTTTCATCCGTCCGGTTTCCTGCTTCCCACAATCGCGAAGTCACCCTACTTACCAAGTCTCGGTCCCAACGAAGTAAACAACCCAAGCCCTAAAAACAAAATAAACCCTAAACCCCAAAACCCTAACGGCCCTTAACCCCAAACCCTCGACCCTAGGCTTTCCAAACCACCGCACAGCTCCGAACCGAACCCTAAACCCTTCAACCGCAAGGAAGCCAGGCATCCTGACGGCAAAGCCCAACACCCTGTGTCTTGAAGCCACGACTTCCAAACCACTAGACGATTTAAGGGGTTATATAGGGCTTAAGACGGAAACTCTACCTACCATAGGCCATCAACCCTAAACCCTAACCCGACATCCCAACTTCAAGTCGATCCCGAAACTTCTGCCGCTCGAAACCCTAAACCCTGAACTTACTTTGGGTAAGTAGGGAATGGAAGAGTGGTAGTAATAGTAGTTATAATCGTGCCCTGTTCCTCCATTCCCTACTAAGCAAAGGTAAGTAAACCGGGGAAGAGTTGCGCCAAGCACCTGGGCACTCAGCAAGGTCACCGGCCGACTGGTGCCAGAGACTGTAGCCGAGACTCCTGGAAAGACTTTGGGGGGCTTTAGGGTTTCGGGTATAGTTTGGGGACGCTCATAACATTTGGGTATGCTATAGTGCTATAGTAGAGTTTGAATGAGGAACCCTAAGGAATAATGTTGATAAAAGTCAGCTCGGGAGGGTGCAGGACTCTTTTGAGACTTGTTCGGTACTGCTCTAACAAGGCTTTTAAACGGCGGCTGTAACAGTCTGTGTATAAGGGTTTTATTGAAGGGGTCCTTTTGGACTATTGGCATCGGTCTCGAAACTGTTGTGGGTTTTAGCTGCCGGAACTTCGCCAAGCCCTGACTCAAGGAACACGAGATCTGCGAAGGTCTTGCAACAGTGCCTATACTGAACTTAGAACCCTAGCAAAATTTGAATTTTAGCTGTTTCTTAGGGATTAAAATCACAAAAAAAATAGAATTTTAGCTGTTTGTTAGGGATTATCATAACCAAAAATTAAAAAAATGTAATTTTAGCTGTTTCCTAGAGATTACAATAACCAAAAATTAACAATTGTATGTTTTAGCTGTTTCTTAGGCATTATAATAACCAAAAATTAAAAAATCATACTTTTTGCTGTTTCTTAGGGATTCTACTAACCAAAAAACTTGAAAAATATTTCGAAGTACCCCTCAGAGTGTTTTCGAAGCCCGAGGCCGACCAAGGGCTTGCAGGATTTAGGGCTCGGGGTATACCTAAAGTCTCCATTGTAGTTCCTTTTTGGGGTTACCTTTTAGGATCCTTAATATAAGGGGTATACCTAGACCCTGAAGAACCTACCTTTTCGGGTTCCCTATTATGGTTTCCCTACATAAGTCCTTAAACAGGTAGGATATTTGGGGTTGGGGTAGGGCTTCAGATAAGTGGTTCAGGGCCGAGGCGTCTGGAGCTCGAGGAAATCAAAACGGAATGTAGGAAGCCCGAAACCGCACACAGCAGGACTCTAAACCACAGTGCGAACCCTAACTAACAAACCGTCCCTCTTCTCAAACCCTAAACCCTTGTGACAACCCCAAACCCATATGACGGTACTGTGAGCCTGAAGTCTCTGCAGGTTGTTGAAGGCCCCCCAGCTCTTTATACATACAATCATTCCTATCTATATATGTATATGTATATGTATATGTACATGTATATACAGGTACAACTACAAATATATATATATATATATATACACACACAGACATACTAATGGCTATATTTGTATATAATATCGTTGCTTAGTTGCTTATTTCTTTACACTACAAATATACATACAGAGATAGCGAGAGACTATCTAGATATACACGAAATACACGCAAATGCACATGGCTATGTATGCACTTATGGGCGTGTCTGTCTGTCTGCCCGTCGGTTCGTCCGTCTTTCTATCCACCTGTCTATCGCTCTTTCTATCCAACTATGTATCCAACTATCTATCTATCATCTGTCTGCCCATTTATCAAGCCAGCCAGCCAGGCAGCCATCCATCAATCTATCTCCAATCTATGTCCCTATCTCTCTGTCTATCCATCTATCCCTACATCCATCTCTACCTCTATCTCCCGGTCTACCTACCGATCTATCGGTCTATCGAGCCGTCGATCTGCATTTCTTTCAAAACTATCCTAAGCCGCCCCGTTTCATGATCCAACCCATGTGGGTAGTTCTCTGAACTAGGGTCCCCTTTAGGATCCTTTTTAGAAGGGTGCCATACTCTTTTGGAGACCTACACGGGGACCCGAATTTCGAGAACTTCTCATAAAGTGCACAAAGACAAAGACCAGGGACACCTGGAGTAGTGTTTTCGTGTGTGTTGAACTCCTACGGTCTGGCTCTGCTGCTTTGCTGAAACCTCCTCATCCCCAAGAGTAACAAATACCAGACATGCCTGTAATGACAGCAATGCTACAACGTCATTAGTCCCTCTTCCATGCCGGGAATACCTAAACCCTGAACCCTAAACCCCTTAACCGTAAACCCTAAAACCCTAAACCCTGAACCCTAAACCCTGAACGTCCCAAACCCGACACAGCAAAGCCGGAACGCTGCCTCCGGATATCGGGCTGGCGAGGTAGAGGCGCGTGGTGAGGCGCTCCAGTCCCGCATCCTGGTTTGGGGGTTTAGGGGTTTAGGGTTTAGGGGTTTAGGGGTTTAGGAGTTAGGGTTTAGGGTTTATAGGGCTCAACGTGGGTGGTTGTCAAAATTATGGTCCCTTTTTGGGTCCTTCATATAACACGGCACCTAATGCTTAGGGTACCCATAATTTTGACAACTACCCATGTAGAGGCCTTAATAATAAGAATTGGGTTTTGGGGCGTTCCTTAAAATAAGTATAGTATAACATACCTCCACAAACCCTATTCTAATCGTTAAAAAGGCCCCTACATTAGGGTCTCGGGGTCGGAGCTCCGACCTCGATGTTACACAAAAGAAGTCATGCCCTCCACGCTTGCAATCTGCCGAAGCACCGGGTCTAACACATGGGGGGGGGCACATAATTACAAGAACATGGGTTCCTGTCAAAGGGGTCTATATTGGGGTTACTTTATAAGGGGTACGATAATATAGGGGCCGCAAAAAAATTAGAATAGGGTTTTTGGGACCACTAAACAATATCCATTAACAAAGAAAGCCCAGAACCAGGATTTGGGTAATTCATTAACGCCCCCTATATTAATTGAACAAGCAGGGTTTGCGAGGGCCGGGTAGATTCAGGGAATCAAACTACAGATTTCTCCAACAAGTATGCATACATCCTCAACCTGACCTTGCAGCTTGAAACCCTAAGCCCTAAACCCTAAACCCTAAACCCAAAACCCTAAACCCTAAACCCTAAACCCCTAAACCCTAAACCCCTAAACCCTAAACCCTAAACCCCTAAACCCTAAACCCCAAAACCTGAAACATTTCTCCTAAAGCCACTTTGCCCGAAACACTTGCGCCGGCGGCCCCAACTTAAACGCTGAAGCCCGGAAGTCTCAATCTTACCCTAAAAAAAATACCCCAAAGCCCTAAACTCCTGAACTCCAAAACCCTAAACTCCTAAACCCTAAACTCCTAAACCCTAAACCCTAAACTCCTAAACCCTAAACTCTTAAAGCCATAAACCCTAAACTCCTAAAGCCATAAACCCTAAGCCATTGAAAGTTTGTATGCTGGGAGCGGATCCTTGAAGGCTTCCGTGATGGAGTGGTCCTCAGCTTCTCATGAGGGAGGGGTGCGGTTTAGGGTTTAGGGTTTAGGGGTTTTAGGGGTTTAGGGGTTTAGGGGTTTAGGGGTTTAGGATTTAGGGGTTTAGGGTTTAGGGGTTTAGGGGTTTAGGGTTTAGGGTTTTGGGGTTTAGGGTTTAGGGCTTCATGTTCTGACTATCCCTACCTAAACCCCCCAAAGTAGGTAAAATAATAGCCCAATACCTATAAAAGGCTATTAGTCTACATACTTTTGGGATCCAGGAAAGGCTCCATGTACCCATATAGTATATACTTATAAGCCTTAAAGTACCTATATAGGTACCCATCTAGTATATACTTTGGCCTTAAAGTACCTAGAAAGGGACCCCTTGAAGGCCGAAGTATCGTCTCATGGTGCAGGCTCAGATAGGCTTGCATGGAGGAGCTTCGGGCTTGCGTAGCCATAGTAGTAGTCGTAGTAGTAGTAGTAGTAGTAGTAGTAGTAGTAGTAGTAGTAGTAGTAGTAGTAGTACTAGTACTAGTACTAGTACTAGTACTAGTACTAGTACTAGTACTAGTACTAGTACTAGTACGAGTACTAGTACTAGTACTAGTACTAGTACTAGTATTAGTAGTACTAGGTTTCCCTTTGGCCCTTGACAAAATCCCTACTTGACAGTTGGGATAGGATTCAAAATGCACATGTTTATTCCTTATTGGGGTTAAGTAGCCATAAAAAAGTAAGATGTTACCCAACTATGACAAAGATCCTCTGACATACCCCAAGCTAAAATGTCAAAGGAGCGTCCAAGCAGGCCGCATACTTGGAGGATCATGGGACTTAGTAAGTAGGGTTATAAGTACCCTAAGTGGGGTTATATCTAATTATAAGTATAGTTACCTTAGTTATAACCCTAGCTACTAAGTCCCATGGGTGCTTGGGATGTTGCGGAAAAACATGGGGCCATAGAGCTCGGGGTATAGAGTTTAGGGTGCAGGGTACTTGGGTGTAAGGGTTAGGAACTTAGCGTCTAGGATTTCAGGATTTAGGGCTTGGGATCTTGAAACTCAATCTGCTTTGCTCACCAAGCTTAGGACACCACGCTGCAACATACAATTAAAAAAACAGCTCCACACCTCTGAACCCCAAAGCAGCTTGCGACGTTGTGAGCTTGTGGATCTCAAGCGGGTGCCAGAACACAAAGGCCCTTGAGTCTCTTTGCAAGCCCTTCCTCTAACGGCCTGCCGTCTAAGGCACAGGCTACAGTACCTGTACCTATTTCTTGCACATTGATGTAGCGACCAGGGTCAGTGTTTGAAGCTACATCACACGTCCCAGTGTCTCGGTATTCCCTGGATAGAGTTCAAGATACCGGTCTGACATCCAATACTCCTTAATTTAACCTGGCAAGCACCCTGCGCGGACAAGGGTCGTTGAAGACTTGCAAGTCCATCCGTGCCATTCCTGGCACCTGCTGCAAGGCTTCTGGCGTTGGTTTCAGGGAATAGGGGTAGCCGCAGGTGTCGATTTCGTGTGGGGGGCTTGCAATGGGCACCCCGAATGGCTCCAAACAGGGATGCACCGGCCCCTTCCTCAGAGGATTGTTCAACCTAGTTTTTAATTCTTCTCACCACCGTCAGGCAACAGTTTACATCGAACCTGTTCGATGCGCAGGACAATGCCCATATGCATTCATGCCTGATAGATCAGTTTCGGACCAAAAGACTTGTGCTGCTATTCTACGTTGATGCATCGTTTACCTGGAGATTATTGAATTTCTATGTTGCAAGTTCGTTCCTCTTGGGCGTGCCATCGTCGTACGTCGTCATCCGAACTCATGACAGCATCTCGGCCGTCCTACATGGCATAGCCACTGTTAGACTCGCATGTGCATGTTCCGAAAGCAACAGACAAAATCTTATACTTACTTGCAAGCACACCGCCGTCAAAGAACAGAACATCTGCTGGCTGACACAACACTTCACATCCAAACAAAGAACAATCATGTCTTCCAGGGCGGAAACACCAGTCTTGGAGAATACTGACTATGTAGCAGGGGCAGCAACAGCAGTAAGTAGCAGCAGCAGCAGCAGCAGTAGCAGTGGAGCAGAAGCAGGAGCAGGAGCAGTAGTTAACAGTTAACAGTTAGCAGGAGCAGCAGCAGCCGCAGCAGTAGCAGTGCTGGCAGCAGTCGTCGTAGTAGAAGTATTACTCTTAGGAGTGGTCGTGGTCTTCATGGCCGTCGCCGTCGTCCTCGTCGTCGGTGGTCTTGGTCTTGGTCGTGGCAGTATCTACAAGGATATACCTGGCTTCTTCTTCCCTCCCTGTCTCTAATATTATATGTGTGTGTATATATATATATATATATTTATTTATTTATATCATGTAGTACGTGCCCCTCCACAGTCAGTTGCTTCGGACTTCTTGCGCCTGTGGGTCAGGAAGTATCCGAGCTCGGCCGCCTCTGGATGAGGTGTCACCCCACCTTTGATCCCAGGCATTGCAGGGTCTTGATTGGAATTCAGGGTTCTTGGACTGGGTGCTTTAGATTGCAAAGTCTGCCACTTCCAGCTAGCACGGCGGACAATCCTAAGATGTCGAGAACAGAGCAACATCGACAGAACCTCTACACAACATCACCTCGCATGCAGCAGCCTCTTATCTGCGTAGTCCTCTTGTAGGGGCATTTTCGGGCCGCGGCTCCACATGAGTACGCGACTCTCATGAACAGGACCCTGCAAAACGCCCTGACAATTTAGAAAAGCACAGCAAAGTCAGCTTTAAAACATCGGCCTTGTGCAAACACACCTCTCGTGCTGAAGGTACTACATTCAGCATCACCCCGACTTCCTGGATCCCAAAGATCCCAAAGCGAGCGGAAAGCGCATAGAGCAAGCACTGCTCACGGCACCATCACAGACAGCAGTCAATCATGGTGCTCGCAATACCAACAACAACATAGTACTTCGAATCAAAAGAGTGTCCAAGAGATGACGATGCTGAAAGCCGAAGGAACCATTGTGGAGGTCGTGCTGTAGTAACAAACATCGCTGCTCCAAAGATTAAGCGGCAATCGACATAACCACCACAAAAGCACACAGCAACAGCAACAAGCGAGAGGGATCAACAAATGGCCATGCTTCTCAATTTGGACCAAGCTGCCCCCCTGACATATTGCGCTGCACCAAGAAGAGAGGCGTCTTCACCTTCTTTTGATGCCGTGGACAAAACTGCTGAAGCTCCACGGCTTGCAACTGGAAGTCTCATGGTCAAACTATGAACCCTATTGTAGAACTTTTAAGGCCAATACATTATAGTACCCTTATAGCCCCCTTATAGTAACCCTTATAGACCCCTTTTTAAGGCCCCTATGGGCGGCAACTCCCTTCGACTCAAGCGACATTGGGGCTGCGAGCGTGGAGAGGACCAAGGGCGAGGGCACGGGACGGGGACGGCATTTACGAATAGTGGGGGGAACTTTGGGATCTTCGCGTTTCGGAAACTTAGTAATTATAAGTAAGCTTGAAAGTACACTGATTTGGCCTAATTGTGGTATCAGCAAGTATAGACACCTTATGCTCGAACCCAAGTCAACCTAGACCCTCCATCTACCCTCTATTAGACCCTAAATGCCCCTTATTTGGGACCATATACCCCTATTTGAGGGTACAAGGAGGGTCCTGATAGAAGGAACCCTTATAGTACCCTTTAAAGGAACCCTTATAGTACCCTTTAAAGGAACCCTTATAATACCCTTTAAAGGTCAGTATTTGAAGCAAGCCACAAAGCCGGATACGCAGCACGACGAGATGTTGCGCTGCTCGAGGCTGGCGAAACCCTTGAGGGAACAGCGCGGCGTGAAACCTGAGTGGGATGAGCCAAGCCTACTTGGAGGATCATGGGACTTAGTAAGTAGGGTTATAAGTACCTTAATTGGGGTTATAAGTAATTATAAGTACAGTTACCTTAATTATAACCCTAGTTACTAAGTCCCATGATCCTTTAAGTAGGCTAGCGGCGGCTACTGAAGACAGGCGGCTGCTACTGCTGATGCTACTACTACCACGACGACAACTATACTGCGCCGGCAGCTGCTGCTACTACTGGCGGCAGTAAAACGTAAAGCCCGTAGGCCTGAGTACTACCTGCCACTTGTGTCAAAATGGTTGACTTGCGAAGAACAAGAGCTAAAGCAGCAAGCAGTGCTACCTCTCAAGCCGTTGCAACAACCTCTGCCAAAGTTTCAAAATTCCTAGAAGCACAACCCTAACCCTAACCCTAAACCCTAAACCCAAAGCGAAAAACCCTAAATCCTAACCCTAAACGCAACACCCTCAACCCTAAAGCAGTGGGACTGAGAAAGTCTCCAGGCTGGCATTCTCCATCCGAGTCCGAGTTCTTCCGCACATAGGTCCAGGCCACACAGCGCAAGTCCTTGACACACAGTTCCTCGGTCGCCATGGGTTCTATATGATGATATTTGAAGGATGAAAGCCACTTAAATCCTAAACCCTATAGCATCCCTCGACAGGAGATTTTGATCGTATGCTGTTTTTGCAGCAAACATCTATTCTTCGTCAGAGCCGCAGAGCAGTTCTGTGCATTTGCAGCGTCACCTGCCTGTAAATCCATCGGCAGATCCGTGTAGCTCGCCGCGGTAAGATCTGTGTTCTTAAGGGTGCGCCCGCCCAGCGGATTCGCAGTTATGCCGATGCGGCTGTATTGCCTAGGTTGCTAGTAAAGACTCAAAATGCTATCGACTGCTATTACTAGTTATTCCGACCATTGGGTACCTGAACCTCTTGTAGAACCTTATTCGGTAACCCTGAACCCCTGAACCGTAAACTCTATTGGACCCTCATAAGGGGTGTATATTTGCCTATAAACATAATAAGGCACCCCTATATCAGGTTCCCGAGAGGGAATGCTATTCCTAGTTACCCCGAACATCTTACTATTGAGGGACCGGGTTGGATTATTGGTTCCCCTTAAACGGGTACTATTAAGGACTACTACTTCCCCTTGAAAAAGGGGACTGATAAAAGGGAACTATCTTAGTTCCCCTTAAACGGGTACTATTAAGGATTGCTACCTCCATTTGAAAAAGAGTATTTTAAAAAGATACTATTGAGGGACCGGGTTGCTTGGCCGACTGCTGCCGGACAAGCAATCCGACAAAGGCTCCTGGGTCTGTGTCGAAGAGGTCCTCGGTAGGGATCTGAGGATCCTAGTTAATGGTTGGGAACGCATTAAATTATAGATTTCTATTCCTCATTGGGCTTAAGTACCCATAAAAAATGTAAAATTTTATCCAGCTATGAGAAAGAGAAGGGGGGGGGAAATAGCCAGAACAAGCAATGATGTAGGGATGGCCATGGTGGTTACAATAGAGTTTGGGTAGATCATAACACGCTTCTGTCAGGGCAGCACTCCAGGACTTCGAAGCTGTCCTTCAACTCTTCCGCGACACGATATGGGTGGTTGTCAAAATGTTAGTCCCTTTTGGGGTACCCTAAACAATAGGTGCCGTATTATAATAGGGACCCAAACAGGGACCATAATTTTGACAACTACCCATATTCAGAACGAAGAAGGGCCAAACTTCACCACTTAAGTACAAGGGAACTGAGATGTACATATCACAGAGGAACCGTATGGGTTACTACGATAAGCCCCATGGCAAGTCGGGCCCTGGGAAAAACAACTCTTCCGGAACAGCTCAGGCTCCACAGGAAAGGTGAAGGAAGCCAGAACTTCTTGCTGCAGCTGCAATTTTGGGGGAACCGGGGCGGTGCCATCGCCACTAGCGTCCACCAGCATTAGCGGCTCCATGTCAACCTTTCGTGGTGTAGGGCAGGGTTTGAGCGGCTGGGCCTTTAGGGCTCGGAGGGGGGGTTGGAAGGGTCTATGCTGGGGGGAGCATAGGATATAGCTCTACTCAATGACCCGCCCTTTGCGGCATGCCTGTTCCGAGTTGGGGCGATGTTAGACATCTACGAATCCTCAAGAGCTGAGGGTTTAAGGGTTAAAACAGGGTCTCGAGGCTGAAGGCTAAAGCTTCAAACTCCTCTATCAGGTCGGAATGAGCGCCTTTTAGTTGGAATAGGGCTCCTCCCTTGGAACAGGGTTTTGATGAATTTAAAACGTGGGGTGCACTAAAATTAGGACTCCTGAGGACTTCGTACTGGTAGTTCTTCCGGTGCCTGCCGGGAGTTCTTATGGGCCCACGTCCAGGGACAATGACGCGACGAGGAACTGAAGCCCCTTGACCACGGAGACCGATCAGCTGGCGCTTCACTACCACAAGACATTACCCAGAGACTCCAATATCCCTTAATTAAGGAATATTCCTTAAATTATGGTAGGATCCCTTATATGATTTAAGGTATATTCCTTAATAAAAAGGATATTGGAGTCTCTGGGTACACATGAGGATGAGTCCCAAGCCCTGGTTCTCTCATGAAGATAGTCAGGATGACGCTAGTGATGGTGACGGTTACGATGATGACAACATTGATGACAATGAGGAAGTCAAGATGATGACTCCCTGATACCTGCTGTGCGATCTTATCAGGGAAAAAGGGATGAATTCCTCGAATCAAACCAGGGTGCGAGTTTCCTGGGTCCACTCGACGAAAAGAGCAACTCCTGCCGCAAGGCCTCCAACGCTGGAAGCCTTTCGGGGACGGGTCTTCGGCCTCTTAGGGTTGATAGGGTTTAGGGGTTTGGGGTTTAGGGGTTTAGGGTTTCAATAGGGGTTTAGGGTTTAGGGGTTTGGGGTTTTAATATGGTTTTAGGGTTTGGGGGTTTGGGTTTAGGGTTTAGGGGCTTACTGTAGGGTTTAGGGTTTAGGGCTTCTTCGGCTTGTTGGGGGCTGAGTACCCTAGCCCAAGAAAGGGAGCTATAAGAGTTTGAAGCGTAGGGTTCCACTAAAGGGATCTATAGTGACTAATAACCTTGTCAATGATGGTAAGATTATATAAACTCCAAAAGGTTGATGGTTACCTACTCACTCACTTACTAAGGCTGTAGGGATTCGGAGGTTTCAGTCTTACAAGGGAAAGAAAAATGAAAAAGTTACTTTGGGCTGTATAGGGATTACTGGGGCGGATCGAGGGCCAATGCTGTAGTGTAGATTTCTAACTTCGAAGATGGCAAGGTGCACGTCGACAAATTATAGCGAACCCCAAAAAGGCTGGAACATGGGCTTAGGATGACTAGTGCTAGGATGCCCTTCTAGTTTACCTTAAGGGCGTCAGGAATATCATGTTCCAACTTCTTGGCGGCTACTACAGAGCACACAACAGAGAAAGATTCTCTGCTTGCTTGTTTCAGCTTGAACAATCAGAAGATGGACACGGGGTTGCAGGTTCCACTGGGCTTTCCCAGTGAGGTTGGCATGATTGCTGTTTGCGCACTTTAAGGCAGGTTGAAGAATGCTCTTAACGACAAGTTTAGGGATTGAGATTTTGTTTGCTTGGTGTCACCTCAGCCTGTCATCATAAAGTTTGGGTATATATAGGGCCCCCATCTCATACAGATTAAGGGCAAAGCCTACAGACAAGTTCAATCCTGAAAGTCTTACAGCACCCCCCTAGGCGAAACCCCAAACCGTCAAGACCTACCGCAGATCGAAATCCACCCGAAACACTAGACCCCTAAACCCCAAACCCTGTACCCCTAAACCCTAAACCCTAGAACAGGCCGGCGGCGGAAAAATACGCAGAGCTTGATGTTTGGAGTCGTACACCATCACGCGCGGCAGGGTCTGCACCCCTGCCCACCTGCAACAGCCATGTCCCCAAAACCCTAAACCTTATAAACCGGGGCTTAGTGAAGGGGTGGGGCAGGTTGCGGGGAGACAGGCATCGCTCTGCGCAGAACCGTGCTTCAAGCTCACTGTCGTGTTTCGGGGTTCGGGCAGGCCACCTCCGCAATATCGACCCCCCCGCCCACAATGATGCAACTATACATCGAAATTCATGGTAATCAATACCCAGAGGCTTGGAAGCAGCTCCTTTTTTGCTGGGATTACCTAAGAGGATTCGAAACATGAACCCCAAGAAGGAACTACGATGGAGCCTTAGGGCAAAAGGAGACCTTTGCATTTCCGAGGCCCCCGCCCCATGTGCGGAATCTTCGAGGCCACGGCCTCTGAACTCCAGGCGAAGATGATCTGAGACTTCAAGATCGCGTCGAAGAACCTCTGGGGTGTAGCGTTTGGGTTTAGGGGTCTTGGGGCTTTAGGGGTTTGGGTTTAGGGCTTTAGGGTTTAGGGTTGTTGGGTTTGGAGTCTTGGGGCTTCAGAGGTTTAGGGTGTAGAGGGCTGTTGGGTTTAGAGGTCTTGGGGCTTTTGAAGGCTTCGGGGTTTACGCCTTATCGAGTCTTGGGGTTCAGGGATTTAGGGCTGTTGGGGTGACCACCACCGCCGCCACCGCCACCACCACCACCCCCACCGATCGTGACACTCGTGGTCTTCATGCTCGCAAGCGTAATGATGGCACACAGCATGCCAGCTAAAATCAAGCTGAGCAGTTATGACTACTACCGGCAACAATTTAGCGGTAATGATGAGAGGGATGGTGGAACATCAAAGCTTTACAAACATCATAAGATCTAGTCACCATCATTGTTTAGCTCGTACCAAACTCCCAACCATAGCGGCCAAGGCCATCACATATCCTAAACCCACAGCCCCCTCAACCCTAAACCCTCTTGGCATCAAAAAACGACTTCGAGGCGTAGTAGTGATCGCCATAGTCCAACGGCACAGCGCTGCTGTTGGGCTGGAACTTCCTGGTGTCATGAGTTAAGAATAATATGAAAGGTGCATGCTTAGTAAGCGTACGAAGGTGTACGAGATTTGTCTACTACAGGGGCCTGGATGATTCGAATAGGGTCTTGGGGTACGCTATACAAGAATCAAAGTAAGGAATCCCAAGGAAGAACATTGGCAATTATTCCTGAAACCCTAAACCCCTATAATACACCCCTACATTACTTTCCGATTGCAACGACTCCTATTTTCTTGTTCGGATCAGAAAGGCTATATGGATGGCACCGTTTCTGACAATGACGGTTGAGCGGTATGCATATACGTAACAAGTGGTATGTGTACATGTATCAAACATACATGTGTGTATATATATATGTATATATATATATATATATAAATAGAGAGAGAGGGAAATAACTATATAAATGTGTATATATATATATGACACTTATGTGTAGATCAACAAACAAGCAAACAACAATGCATACATAAACATACTTGTAATGTATACGCATTCAAACATGTAATTATAAATGTATGCATGCATAACATGCATATAAATGTTTGTGCGTGCGCACGCCACACATACATATCCTGCCCAGTCATTACGTACTAAGTGCACCTCGCTCTGGCATTGTTGTCACCTAGTCGCGGGGCAGTGGTACGGCGCTTATCCGCCTGATTCTGATGCTGACGCTGTGACTGTTGCCGTTGACTGTGGTAGCGGTACCGCTGCTGCATATGCCAATATTGTATAATCCTGCTGCTTGCTGCTTGCGTCGAGGCATGGCTGAGGAGCAACAGAGCACGAGAACTAGCGCCGCGAGGGCGGCTTCCTACCGTAACCGCAATTACCATTACAAAAGGAAGTTGACTAAACGGCTTCAGGGGTTGTCTCGACCTCAAGGGAGCCAGACCCCAAGACCACTGTAGGGTTCACGGTTTTGGGAATTCTGTTCGCGGTTTGGAGTTTGCGACAGTTGGCATTTGGTATAACGTTAATGGCATTGGTGTGCTAGGTCTTGGGCCTTGGGTTTTCGGGTTAACAGTCGAAACCCAAAACCCTAAACCGTCGGCCAGGGCCCCCAATCCTCAAGGAGCACTTCGAAAAAGTTCCACGCGGAGGGCCGGGGCCCGCCCAAACCCCTAAAAAAAATCGGAACACCTTTAGGGTTCACATAGGTCCTATAGGGTTTAGGGTCTATTAGGGGCTTTAGAGTTCACAATAGGGTTTAGGTCCTATGGGGTTTAGGGTCTATTAGGGGCTTTAGGGTTCACAATAGGGTTTAGGGTTTAGGTCCTATGGGGTTTAGGGTGTGACGCTCCTGGTGTCCCAGTCAAAGACACCAAGGCGGTAGTAGTCCGCAGTGACGACCATGGTGGAAACTTTCAGAACCCAAACCTGCGATGTTGCCGTACTTAAAGGATCATGGGACTTAGTAATTAGTGATATAATTAAGGTAACTGTACTTATAACTACTTCTAACCCCAATTAAGGTACTTCTAACCCTACTTACTAAGTCCCATGATCCTCCAAGTAACCCATAAAAGCCGGGCTTAGGGTGTTTATATACTGGGTGACAACAGGCTTTTGGGTTTAACATGGGTATAGGGTGTGTGATAGGGGTTGCAAGACGGGTTGTAGCAGGGTGTAAGGTTTCTAATACAATTCGCCACAGAAGTTGCAAAGGTCATGAAGGTTTGAAATGAACTCAGAAACACCTGAAAACAGCAAAAGCCCTAAACCCCATACTAATGAGGCTCCAGGAAACTCCTCCTGGCAGCTCAAAAAGGTCCGGGCACTCGAACATTCCGTAGGGCACATAGCGATCTTCAAAGATGACGCTGTCAAACTTCCAGTCCTTGAGGGCCGCATCCCCCGAATAGCCCACCACCGTCGCAGTTTGAGGCTGGTAGAGATCCTGGTAGGGGGTTTAGGGTTTAGGGTTTAGGGGTTTAGGGTTGAGGGTTTAGGGGTTTAGGGGTTTAGGGTTTAGGGTTTAGGGGTTTAGGGGTTTAGGGTTTAGGGGTGTTTAGGGTTTAGGGTTTACGGTCGAGAAACCCGAAAGCGCGGCACAAGAAGAATCTCACAGCCCCGCCAAACCTCAAACACCAATATCAGCATATCGACGCATGAATCTTAGAACCGGCGAGCTCCGTACACTCCCAAAAGAATTTAAGAATTTGTCAGGCTCCATGCTGTAAAGAGTTCCAACCAATATAAGCCCCAAACTTAAACCCTTATATGACTTACGGGTCTCCTCGCGCATCAGGCTGGCGCCCATGAAAACGAGGTAACGTTGGCGTTTCTCATCCTTACTTGCCCGGTTCACGAACCGGAAACAATCTTAGGGTTTAGGGTTTAGAGTTACTTAGACTCATCACCAAATCGACTAGACTGTAGAAGCGCCAAAGGAAATCACATCGAGTCAGCGGGACGAGACTTCAGACACTAAGTATCCTATGACAACATGTCACAATGATTCTCCAAAATATCAAGCTTACACAGACCCCAATCAAACCTGAAACGCAATCCTAAACCCAAAGCCGAGCCCCCGCCCACCCACCCACCTATACGCCTAGGCACCGCGAACACAGACACAGACCCACACCCACCCCCACCCCCACCCCCACCCCCACACCCGCACCTGCACCCACCCCCACCCCCACCCCCACACCCGCACCCACACCCGCACCCACACACACACACACACACACACAAATACACACACACACACACAGACAGAGACACAGACACAGACACAGACGCAGACACACACGCACGCACCCACACAGAGGCACGCACACACACACACACAAACAGAGACACAGACAGACACAGACACAGACGCAGACACACACGCGCGTGCACCCACACAGAGGCACACACACACACATATATATATATATATATATATATACACACTACACACTATACACTATACACTATCATACACTACACACAGACACACAGAAACAAAAGAACTAACATCAAACCCGAATGCTCCACCCCTATAACCCCCACTCAAAAACCCCCAAGCAGCCCCCCCCCCCCCACCCAAAAGCCCCTCACCGTAACCCCCCAGTCCAAAAACAAGAAACCAAGCTCAAGTCTCAATCACCCCAAAGCCCAACATTCCTGGACCCCAAACCCCGTAATCCCCAAATCAGAAAAGACCCAAGCAAGAATCCTCAAACAAAATTCCCAAGCAGCCCCAAACACTGAATCCCTCAACCCCAAACCAATAAACCCGCAAATCAAAAAAAGCTGAGCAAACGTCCCCAAGCAAAATCCCTAAGCATCCGCAAACCCTAAATCATGCAACCCCAAACCCCCCTAAACCCCAAATCAAAAAAGACCCAAGCAAAAGCTCCTCAACATCCCAAAACCCTAAATCCCTCCACCCTGAACCCATAAACAACAAAAAGTAAGCATCCCACATGGGATCCTTTTAGGGGTCTTACGGTTCCGTTTACAGGGGTCTTAGGGTACCTTTTGGGATTCCTTTATGGGCTCTTTAGGGTTCCTTTCAGGGCTCCCACAAGGCCGTGGTGGGATCCCGGAAGGTCGTCGAGCTAACGACGTGCTCCTGAGCTTTCGGTTTTGGGATTGACTGGGCCTAGGGTTTCTATAGGGGTTAAGAAGGTGTAAGGGTACAGGGTTTAGGGTTTGGGGTTTATAGTATATAGGGGTTTATTGGAGATTTAGGATTTAGGGGTTTACGGGTGTATCGACCTTTGCAGGGCTTGCTTCGGTGGTTTCTGATAGGACATTGCAGGATTTTCGATTTATTTCGGGTTGAAAAAGAAACACGAACTTAAGCCTCCAATCTAGACCTGAAAGGAACCCTACACCCTAAACTGGTTCATTTCCGATGGTGCTGTGGGGATGTCTCCCTGACATGCTGAAAGTTATCGCTTGCAGATTCTCTAGGGCTCGAGAAGACTTGGGTTTAGGGGTTAGGTTTTGGGGTATTGAAGTTTAAGGTTCAGGGTTGACATGTGTCATTGACGGAGTTGGGTCTTGGGGTATCTCAGACTGTTACTCTGCAGGGGCCATAACTAAGCTTTGTTTTGCTCTCTCTCTCTCTCTCTCTCTGTATATATATATATATATATACATATATTCATACATCACTTCCTGCTCACATCATGTAAGAGAAACTTGTTTCCCAACCTTCCCAGGGCAAGTAACATGCAGCACCGGTTAACCGGCGAAATGCTGTGGGGCTTTGTTGGCTTCGCGAGTCTTGTCGGAGTGGTTCGAGCCGCAATCGGCAGGCTACGCCTAGGCATCCGTTCGGTTCATGCCCGTACCTTGAAGCACCCTGAATACTAGACCCTAAAGCCCATTATAACCCAACTCACTCAACCCTATAGCTCCTTTTGCCCTACATCTTAAACCCTAGCCCCGAACTGCCTTATTGATTAGACTAGGGTTTTGGGGCCCGTTATACTATTATAGTAATCCTTATAGGACCCCGGACCCCTTTAAAAGGAACCCTATGGGTAATTATGTAGGCCCCTATTAGAACCCTTTTAGGGATCCCTTCATTTAGTCCCCTACATATAGACCCTTATAGAGCCCTTTTAAAATGCCCTTTACAGGAACCACCTAAACCCCTGTAGCATTTAGGCCCCTATAACCCTAAACCCTAACCCCTGACGTATTTAGGCCCCTATAACCCTATACCCTAACCCCCTATAACCCTACACCCCTACAGTATTAAGGCCCCCTATAGTAAGCATGCCCCAGTTTCTGGGAACTCCGAGATGATCGGGTTCTTCGGATCCTCCTGCCACTCCTGGGACAATGTTTCCAAAAGGACCTAGGGCTTTTAGGGTTTAGGGTTTAAGGGTTTTAGGGGTTTTAGGGTTCAAAGGGTTTTAAAGGTTTAGGGCTTTTAGGCCTTAGGGCTTGTAGGGTTTAGGGTTAGGGTTTAGGGTTATAGAATCTAGACAGGGTTCTATAAGGGTACTGAAAGGGTTCTATAACTTATAAGAGCCCTGAAGACATTCTGTAAGGGTCTTTCTGGGATAAGCTGGAGCTACGAGTCAACAAGGAAAATGGCCCCTCCCATTTTAGGGTTAAGGGTTTGGAGTGTTGGGCTCAGAACTAGAAAGCCTGATAATGAATGGAAAGCCTTACAAGTTGCAAGTTTTCGCCAGAGTGTAGGCTTACCCAGCCGAGAAGCATACAGCAAAGCCTAAACCCTCACACCTAAATAACCCTGAACCCCATAATAAACCCTGAACCCCTAAACCCCAAACCCTAAACTCCTAAACCCTTAACAGCCACCGAGGAGCATATAGCAAAGGATCCGAAGAATCCTTTGGCCAAGCCGCGCACTGGACTTGCCCTTTGCCGCTCACGCACGTGTAGAGGATCACTGGGACGCTGCCATTCACGAGCGTAACAGAGCCTGGCTTCCGTGATCTTGTTCTGGTGAATTGGCTTCTGTGATTTCGGAAATAAGGCCCAATTTTTCCTACGCCAACGATGAGGGCTATCCCAGTTGTGTTCCTCCACTCCGGACACTTTCGAAAGCCTTCTGGGAAGTGCCCCTGTAGAACCTATCTCGTAAATCCTATACTCATAAGGTGTCAACAAAACCTTCCCCAAGTAGGTTGTTCACGTTTTTACAGGAGGCTCCAATACAGGCCTGAATAAATAGAATAAGGTTTTGCGGCCGGGCACCCGCAGTTTCAGTGAACTGAATTCTGTGAACTGGGACAGCTGCTTCAGTGAACTGCCCCGCCTGTTTCAGTGAACCAGGTCACACTTCACAGTTCACACCTACCCTACCCTACCCTAGAATACTCCGCCCGTCCATCCATCCTGCCAACTCTACCCTACCCTACTGCCCTCTGAACTTCCCTACCCTGCCCTACCCTACCCAATCCCGTCCATTCACCTACCCCACCCCATCCTACCTTGGCCTGCAAAACCTACCCAACCCCGCACCCTCCCTTGCCCTACCCTACCCGACCTGGCAAAACCTGACCCCAACCACGCCCACACCTACCGTCTGACCCGACCCTAACCCACCTTACCCCACCTACCCGGCCCTACCCTGGCCTTACCTCCTTCCCAGCCCAGCCTACATCCGCAAGCACCTACCCTGAAAAATCCCACAACCAAGTCAACCACTAACCCTACCCCACCCCAAAAACCTACCCACCCGTCCACCGCGCAACCACCCACCCCTATCCACGCCCCCGACCCTACTACCCTACCCTACCCTACCTTTCACGGTACAACACCTGCACAAACCCACCCGCAAATTCCTACCCTACCCTACCCTACCCTATCCTAGCTTGGCCTACCAAACACACCCAATCCCAACCACCCACAACCTCCTAGCCTCCCCTACCCTACCCTACCCTAAGCCCCTGACCAGTTCACTGAAACAGCGGTTCAGTTCACTGAAACAGCGGCTCAGTTCATTGAAACAGCGGTCCAGTTCATTGAAAGAACCATAATAAGGAATACGCAAGCAAGTATCAGAAATTGTTTGGGCCGCTATATTAGCTCCCAAATTCCCAGCTGGAAGCCGGAGTAGAAGCCGCCGCTCGCGTACGGGTACTTGACGGGGTTGAATGTGAGCGCCTGCGCGGCTCACTCGAATTCTGAATTCTACCCAAAGGCGCCAAAGTAGTTCCTTTTTGGGGTTCATATATAGAATCCTATAGGGTAAACCCAAAAAGGAACTACTTTAGGGCCCATGGGTAGAGAAAAGCCACCTGTCTTGTGGTTGTGTCTTTATCGGAACTTCTGGGAATTCTGTAAAGGTTCTCTATAGGGTCCGATTTCGGAGCCTTGGTACTTAGAGCACGGCTGTGGGATAGCAGATGCGTCGAATGACAAAGGGATACAGCGTGTTGCCTGATGTTGCCTGTCAAGTGAGTCCTCGAGACCAGCGCGAGCTAAAACTAGCGCCTGCCAGTGCACATCAGTCTTTGTTTGTGACAGCATTGTGAATTGTGCCTATAGTCTCCATTGCAGTTCCATTTTTTGGTCAACCAGTTTTAGGGTTAGGATCCTATAATAGAGATTTGGTTATATAGCCCAAAAAAAGGAACTACAATGGAGACTATAGGTGAACGACTTCATGGCTCCCTGGGGAACCGGATCGCGGTTTAGGGTTTAGGGTTTAGCCTCACAGGACATGCGGGATTTATCTATGAAACGTTCAGATCTCTATACTTCTCAGTTACGTCTGTGGGGTTGTTACTAACCCATACAGCAGCAGCATCAACCCCAAAATAGGTACCTTTGCTTCTG